CCCGACCATCAATAAGTTCTTCAATCATTTACTATTGGAAATACCAACAGCCAACCAACTGTCGGTACATTCTGACTTCGGGATTAATGGCTGAATTTTGGGATGTACAGTAGTGAAGCAGAAGTACTCTTTTGCGACTTTAGTCAAAGAATTTGTAGGATTTAACAACATGAATGATCAGGACTCAATTGTAATGATAGGCATTAAACAATCTATTTTCTTATTGTCTTCAGTGTCATTTTATCCCACATACACCTCGGAAAGGTCGCCAATATATCACATTCCCATTCATACAGACATGGCAATTATACGAGTACATGCAAACATCGGCATGTCCCCAATCCATACTACGTACTAAAGCTACACAGTATGTGTTAAAAACTAGCTGTGGTAGTTAACTGTTTTACCATTACATTTTGTCCATTTAATACTAACAGGAAATTATATATAAATATATAAATACAATCAAACAGTCCCTTTAAACTGTCACTGCCAATTAAACTTCAAATAGACAGAGCCTCTATAACGTGTACTTGTTTTCCAAGCTGTCCCCCCAATTTATTAGAATTTTTTTCCAGCTGTGAGCAGCTTCCTCTGTGCATTGCATTGTGGGAAAATAGTGTCCATCAACATAATACATATTTATTGCCTTTTCAACAGAATCATTATATAATTGAAGAACAAAACAAGAGTACAAGTCACAGATTGAATTAGTGAAAGTGCGATGACAGTACAGTGCTAGAGGTGACGAGCAGCTAATCACATTTTAAGGATTACTTGTTGGCACCCTGTCAGTATTATTTACTGCCCCCTGAAGGTAGCAAACAAAATCTGCATGGCAATTACATCTACAACAGAGAGGTTCATGAATAAGGCTACATCTTCGCTAATCACCAAACCTCCATTTGAATGAGGGAGCAGTTATATTTGTTTCACACACAGACGATCAAACGCGTCACATTTTGAAGCAGACCCCTGATGAATAATTCAGTGCTCTTGAGAGAGCAGTCTTGAGTAGGAGAGGACAGAGCCTGGCCAGATTCCTCACCTTGAAGTGCCTTTTTTACCGTTACAACTTCTCAAAGGACAGAACAATCCAACCCCTTTCCAGAGCTGGTTTATAACAATTACCCATCTGCTATACAGAAGACGAACAGAGGGACGAGGGTAGAGCTTGTCCTCTTAATGAGCTGAAGTGTTCCTGTCTTCTCTATCTCAAGTGTTTAAAATCTTCGAGTGTGTAAGTGGTGTACCATTATCCTGCTCGGAAACGTTTTGCTTCTTGCCGAGTAGGTTTTCTCTATAAGTGCATTGACACATTGCAGAGGATTTCAACTTAACCACCGGTATAAAGCAGTTAGTGCATATGCGCTGTAGAACTGAGCCAACAGACTGTTGCACAGTACAAACACTGACGGCAGCATGATAGCATGATAACCTGAAAGACAAAAGCCTTTCAGCCCACGCAGCCAAATAAAAGGCACGCTTTGTAAGTCCAGGACACAGACCGATTCATGATAAGCACACAGCTGCCACGCAATAACTTGTGTCAGTTGACAACAGATGCACGACATCCTCAGCCACGGCTAAATGCACGAATGGCCTTTCCAGGGCAGAGATCGGAGCCCTGCTGGCTGCACCAAGGTCAATAAGTCATGAATAAGGGCCTTGGAGGGGTCACACTGGACAGAGCTTCTTGTCCGACGCACAATGAGAAAAAGAAGCAAACAGCCACAGTCAGCGAGGAAGCTTTTAGTCACGGCGTGGCATTCAGCTGCTCAGGGATTCCATCGGAGCCTCAATGAAGTTTACAGGACTTTTCCGTGGCTACACAGGAGCACTTATAATCTGCGAATAGTCTGGTTGGTGCACAAGGAAAACAGCTGAAAACCATCATCTAATACAAGAAATATGTGAGTCCTAAACTATATATGGACATAATACTATCGGATCATCCGTTCATGTGCTGGGATTTGCTGAAATCCCATTTTGTGTATGAAACACATCTCAATACATCCCTACATTTCCTGATATTCCAACAAAACAATTCCATACTCGGTACCACAAACTACAGTAAAGTACAAACAATGTCCCCAATATAAATAAAGTATTTTAGAAGTAATATATGCACAAACATGCACTGTACATTTATCTATTTGACAGTTTTGCTATGAAATTGCGAAAAAAAACAATTCAAAATTAAATTTATATTGATTAGTTGGAGTTAAAAATTTGTGAAAGCAAATAAAAAATGTAAGATATTTTCCTCCATGATGGCAGAAATATGTCATTGACTCGCAAATGTGTTCAACAGTGTAAAAAAATAGGCGTGAATGTAGGGCATATTTGACATATGCAGTATGTTAAACGCATGAGTAGCAACACCAAATGAAAGAAATCTTGAGAATCTGATGGGCCGAGCAAAGAGCAATCGCAGCAGACAGAGCAGAAAGCTGCGAAAACACAGTTCCCAGAGTGATGGACTTTGGAATACTCCCCCAAAATATATTTTAAGGGAAGGAGACACATTCCTCCACAACGAAAACAGGCCCTTTCCCTTGCACAACAATCTCACTGTGCAGCACCCAGACGCATGTTTCTTCCCCTCTTACGTCACACAGCTGTGCATTTATATCCGTGGACTGTCCAAGCTGATGAGGTATACTGGTCAGACAGTAGGAACTCGTCGGTCTTCCGTCTGTCCTGGTACTTCGTCAGTAGCTATTCATAGAGGACTAAACGAGAACCTACACACACACACACACACACACACACATAGCTCTGGGTGCTTTGAAAAGCCATCAAATCGGAAACATGACTAAGACCCTAAAGGCTTCCCTGGAGGGTGAAACAACACATGAGTAACTCTGCCCATCACCAAGGCCCCCTCTCACTTTCAACCTGCTATGTCAACAGGGCTGGCCAGCTGGAATGCAGGAGCCATACTGCAACACATGGAGATCCATCCTGTGGCTCTGCAGTCAGTTTCTTGAAACCCTACCTCGCTGTTGTGCCTCGTATTTTAGATATGCACGCATCACACAAGGGGTGATATGAGAGGAAATAAGATCCATATAGGGCTAAAACACTGCTCTCCTGAGGAAAACGAAGAAAACCTGACACACTGCAAGAAAATTGCTCAATTAAGGCATTTAAGGCAAGTCTGATTAAAACACTTTAATTACCAAAATTAGGCTAGACGATTGCTTAGGATTGCTTAATTATAGCACTTAGGACAGAAAACGAAAACAGTGTTATCTTTTTTGTTTTAGTCTTCTATCTTCTTAGAAACAGACACCTTGGAGATAATTGTATTATCCGCCATTTATGAGGAACATTAATAAAGTTTTAACAAGCTGCTTAATATTATGTGGGATTAATTCACTGGAAAGTTAACATTTACTGTCACTTACTGCCTTTTGGTTTTTGTTAGTTGAGCTAGGTACATCTCACATTTTAACACATCCAGCTACATTTGCAGCAATTTGATTGTTGGAATATTTAATACATATATTTTGCTTGATTGGAATATTAAAGACTAATTTATGATATTGAGGATGAACAGTTCAAAGCTTAATGTCTGGTTTCCAAAGCAGTTTAAAACCACACAATGAAAACTGTCAAATTAATCAAAAAGTTAATATTCACCCATGTGAGATCAAAGCACATGATAGTTAAAAGTATTTAAAGGTCCCACCTGACCAACACACAAGTAAAAACTGTTCAAATGACCTGATCCTAAAACCCCACTGCAAACATGTGCATGATTTTCTGTCCTTGACACAGATCACCTAAATTGTTGGTTTGCTGTCCTACCAGACATCTGTAATCTGAAAGCACATGCCAGGTTACATGACCGCACACGTCTGCAAACATCTGATCACGGAGATTTCCTCCCGAAAACAAGCGTACGTACACACAGCTCCGGAACATCTTCACACATCAATCCAAGAAGTGGGGCTCTGTGTATCCTTTATAACGTCATGATGCCTCATGCCCTGCCTCAGTCCTCTGTGGTGATACAGGAAACTTTGCCCGCACAAGAGGCTGCATTATCTGACTCATGCTCTCGTTAGTGTGACTGAGAGGACAACTATGCTTGCGTGTTGGCCTCTCATGATCTGAAGATGATCAAGCGTCTTCTGTTATGAAATGCAGCCACCCTTTGATCCTGCGTTGGGCTGCTCACGTCTGCAAGAGGAGTGGTAGTAGCGCTTTGTCCTCTCTATTGTGATGCTGCCCTGCCCCCTCCCAGGACTGGGGACCTTAAATCTCCAGGTAAAAGCAAAAGTGAGAGGTTACAGCCCTTGGAGAAAGATGAATGGGAGTTCGGGCTGCACTTTTGCTCTCCTGGCTGCATGCAGCAGTCCACAAATGAGCTGAGGGCTTGTAAAACTGTCAGGCCAGACATTGATATCTCTTGTTTACATGTGGGCTCACCTCGTGTTGGTCCTCACTGGTCCTATAGCTTATCACCTATCAGTGTTTGTTACAGTCAGTCAATAGTAATTATTCACCACAACTGCACCCTTGACAACCTATTGGCTGAAGGTCAAGTGTGGCTTTGTCTGCAGAGACACACACACACACAGACACACACACACACAAACACACTTAGTTACCACTATATTTGTCTTTTATTGAATTCCGCTTCCATCTGACAAAGATTGCACAAGAAAAAAAGCCAGAGATATCAACTGTTATTTGTCAATCAGCTGATCCCAAACAAACACAACGATGCCCTTGTTCACTTGGCACTAGGTTGTCCCGTATACTGTCATATTTATACGTATGAGTCATATCTCACTCACTCCATATTTTGACTACCAGCTTGCTTCTCTGTTACTCCTAACATTCCGGGAGGTATGACAAAGAAGGATTCATTGAAACAGAAGACTTCACAGCCTTCTCTGCAGCCTCGTCTCAAAAAAAGAGGCTGATTTCCAACCGAAAGACCAACAGTCCCAACTGTCACTTCTATCCAAACAGCTCTCTCCTACCTCCAGCGATCTTCTTGAGTAGTTGCTGCCTGGCAATGATCCTGCCCAGCCGGTACCCGGAGCGTCTGTGGTGATGGTCCATTCTCAGGTAGAAGTCCTGAGTCTCTGGGGTCATACTCCCAAGACACTCGCTACCTGTGGACTCTGGGAGCTCCCGAAACATATCTGAAACACTGTACCCCGAACAAGCCCCTTGACCGCTGGCCGATGAGACACTCACCCACACACTCTCCCACCGACAGAAAACTTCACATACAGGCGCAAAAAGCCTAAAGTGAGCTGAGGAGGAAGGCAGAGCAGAGCTTAGGGGGAGGAGTGCCAACACGTCAGGCTATCTCTGCAGGTCATGTGACCACAGGGGGGCCAATGGCAAGGAAGCTGTGGGAGCACTGCCCACCTTGCTGTGCTGAATCCAATGTCTGTGTGAAGGCTTGTCGACTTCCCCCTGCTCTGGAGGGAAATATAAATACCATTGGAATGCCTATGAACTGAGTAAGGAGAGCAGGAGTGGAAGAACGACGGGTGTGGGAGGGCTTACAAAAATAGTGTTTTTTGGAGCCGCCCTGCACTAGAACAACTCTTCTGCTGTTGCTGGTCACACAGGTGCCAAGTTCACTGGGCGAAAGTGAGTTTGTGGCATTTGAGAGAAGACTGCAGAGGAGACAGAAAGAGAGGGAGAAGCTGTTTTCTTGGTTGGAGAATGCGAATATATCTGCTCCCCCACCCCCACCACATAACCACTAGTTCCAGCCAACAGGAAGGCCTCTCAGCAGGTCTCCTTGAAGTGTCACCTCCTCAGGGGAAAAATACATTTTAGCTTGAATACATACGAGTGATCCCTTTTACTCAGCACAAAAGGAAAGATCAGCTCCGACATGTCATCTGTTCAGTTTCGATGGCTGTTCAGTGACAGGATTAAAAGCCTCCTGTGACACTTTGTATCTATCCCCACTACATACTAAACATATATACAGTAGTATTTAGCAAATAGCAATGTTCATGGTATATGGTTTTTGCGAGAAGTCCTTTGCTTTTCCATTTTGTACCAAAAAGAAGTGGTTTAAGATGTGCGCACACATCAATCAAACTGACTCTGAATGAAGTTGTAAAGCTACTGTACAAGACGCCAGTGTACTTTTCCATTTTCTACTAACAGGAAGGGATATAAGCATTATGGACATCAATCAAACAGCAATGGAGGACAGTTGTAAAGAACAAAATAAAAGATTTAGACTGGAGGAATTTCAAAAGAAATCATAATAACAAAATGCAATTTTAATATGTATCTATATTGAGATTAAGACATGTGAACTGGGATAAAATGATAATTTGAAAACAATGTCACTTTAAACATAAAATATAACTGTTGCCAATTCAAGATCTTTCACCAGCATCCACAATTTATTTTCATTTTGTGCAGCTCTGAGTAGCTCCTCCACTTATTCGTGCATTGCATTGTGGGACAAGACTGTCCATCACCAGCAACTCAGTAACTAATTAATTTAGTCACTTTTTTAGTGCGAACCTGCTTTTTCTACGTAAATTGTATTTGGGACACAGTCTGTGCTGTTACGTTTAGTGGTAAAACAAAAAAAGAGTCAATTAAACACCTATTTAGTAACGAAAAAAAAGAAGCTATTTGCACCATTTGTGAGGCGTATTTTTTAATGAAAACTAAAAGCTTCTCTGATTTAAAAGTCCACACGTATCGGCCAGTTTCCAACAATCTCCTTACACCTGAAGCAAAGTCCACATCCGCACAAGCTGACCCACCCAGCACCAGTCAGGGCCCCTGCCACTCTCCTTGCGACTGCCCTGGCGTCAGCATACAGGCTTGCCTGTGTAGCACAAGCATGGCGCCATACATGTGAAACGAGCACGAGTGGGCAAGCGACCAAATCAAACACAGCCCCCTGTCTGTTTCGCTCCCTGGCTGGCAAAATCCACCCTAGCTTAAGCTCACAAAGACCACAATTCAGCAGCACACTTCAGAGCCCGCTGCGCGTTTTCATAAGCAGCTCCTGGGTTTAATGGCCCTCTCCACACCTCTCAGGTGGAACTATTCAAAAATGTGATTGTTACTGTATTTCTAAAAGGTACTAGGTGATGATGTGACACTATTCAGATGATTTCATCGGGCGGTGACTCGTTTTTTAACACACACACACACACACACACACAAACACCTGCGTTCATTCATACTGTAAAAAGAATCGTTTCAGGTGTCGGATTCTAAAAAAAATGAGTGGCAGCATGTTGGCAACAGCGCCTTCACCCTGAACCCACTTCTGTGTTTTCTTCTTCCCTCTCCATCTAGACGGCGAATTTCACTAAGTGCATCATACGTATCGTGTTACGGAATCAATCACCCACTGCTATGCAACATCATAATGAATGAGATTAATGGTGTTTTCGTGTCTGTCTGCACTCAAATACCTCGGCGGGGATTGTGAAAGAGATGTGAGATCGGCAGCATTCCCTTTGGATGCCCCTGTGTTTAACTTTGTGCCGCATGCCATGAAGAAATGGCTGTGGTGTGTCCTTAGTTGGAGTGTTGTGTGTCAGGCACAGTGACTCCAGCCCTTATCAAACTTGTTCCAACACGCCTCTGTCTAGCTTTCACAGCTCAACTACCATACAGCATGGCAACCGGAATCCTGACTCACATTACAAGCAGACAAACATATACCGAGGCTCCGTCAGATGCCAGTTTGACAGCCCGGATTATACTGTTATATCCAAATAAAGGCAGATATTGTTGCTGCGTGATGACAAACTAAGCCGTGTTGAAATGCAATTGTTGTGCGGGCATTAAATGCATGTCCAGCCTTCATTCAGTCGCCGCTCCAGCACTCAGCTTATAGGCCAGATGTGATTACAGAAGGGAAAACTTAAATTCTGAATCATGGACTTGAAGGCCACAGATGACGAGTATGGAGGAAGTTGAGTGGGGTTTAGACACTCCTCTGAAGTGGTTTTGATTCAGCAGCAGACACATGTAATCTGCGCTGGGGCAGTTGTGGCTCTGCCGTGGCTATGTTTCCTGTGGTTAAGGCTTAAGAATAGCCCCAGTGTGACGGAAGATTTCCAACTCACGATCCACCAAAGGTCTGAATTCTGAGCTCAGTTCTGGAAAATAAATCACGCTTTTAATACTGCGAGATCGGTTGAGCTGCTGTGCAGGTAACCTGAAGCGTTTGAGAAGCCCCTATCCAGCGGACGCGGTGGCAACGGGAGACCTTTTACCCACTGTAGCTGTGACTCAACTCTGTTAGGATCACTCCATGCGTAATTATTCAGACCTTAATCTCATGTGAGCAAGAACTCCTCGAGCAGCTGTGTGTAACTAGGTTTCCCCCAAAACATACCTGTGTCCCAGTATATTCTCGCCTGCATATTATTAACTAATAAGTAGTAATAGTAAATTATATTAACTATGACTAAAAATAAAATAATTAAATAGTATATGGGGGGGAGGGTATGCGTCTTGCATTACATTTGGGGGTTACTAGATTTCACATCAATTTAAATATAGTGACCGTGTCATGATTTCCAAGTATGTGAGGGATGGTTCTAGCCAAGCACTTTGACTAACACGGCTGATTATAACTCCTAAGTAGAATTTACAATTCATTATGAAACACAATGACTGGCTGCCTGCTCGTCGATGATCTCAACAATGAATCTATATCAGTACTTGGCGCCTGCTTTCTGTGACAGTTAATGCCTATTAATCACACAGGAGTAGATGAAGCCCTCCGTGTCTTTTTACATATATGCTCACTGCAGAGTTAACTTCAACAAAGCAGCAGGATACAGACACAAACAATAATGTGTCACTCATAGGCTCCACACTTCTTATCTGATGGATTGACAAACATCATTTAAGTCTATCAGGTCGGAGTGTTTGCTTTGGTGTGCAAAAAGATTTCATGCGTCTCTCTCTAAAAACTATAGATATGAATACTTGAATGCGAATAGACCACCATCTGTGATTTGACACACATTACCTTCCTTGTTGATTGGCCATATCATCTACGATGAGCGAGAAATGAGCTGTCAGGGGTCTAAAACACCTGACCTACATTTTGTACCAATCCAGTATTCCACCCTCTGATTTTCTTTGAATCCGTTTTGGAAATGAGTTTTTCCCTCTCAGCCCAAGGTATTACATCAGCCTTGGATACAGCATATATATATATATATATATATTCACATAATATATATATATATTTCAATCAATCTGTCAAGCCAGCCAGGTGCATCATGTCTATATGTGTCCTCTTGTTCGCTGTGTTTATAAGCAAGGCCTCAGGACTGAGACTGCCAGATGTATGGCCCTCCTATCACTGAGATACATACTGTACTGTACATGGAAACAAATGCCAGATGTATGTGTCAAATATCCAAACAACGCAGGACTCAGCCGCTGCATCAGTCTCATGCCTCAGCAGGCTGCACGGCTGAGCCGAGCATGAATCACACGTCCTGCACACAATACAACAACCTTGCGTGAAGATTTAACAGCTGTATCTGTTTGTATGATAATCAGCACTCAAACTCATCCTGATGAAGACAGAGCTGTTTTGTAATTCATGTGACTTTCCCGCACCAGGAGCTGATGTGGTCAAAACACTGCACCTAGTGGTAGACAGAGGTTACTGCACAAAGGATTTTCACTTTTCACACACATTCTAAAGACCTTTGACAGAATCATTGCACCAGGCGTAAACCTCTACAGCTTCAGTTTCAAATGTATCCCAGAGTAGCTTTAAAGCTGAATCCAGAAAATATTCACACCCGATATTCTTGAAAGCAATATCTTGCTATATTGCTATATTCTAATCTGCGGGCCTAAACGGCAGCAGAAATTAGAGGTTTCTAGAAAGTTTATGCATAATTTCACTTCACATATGGAGGAAATATAATGGCCGTTTGAAGAGGCTTGACTTGGAACTTTAATAACAGTGTATTTCAGTTGTCCAGTCCTCCAGCGAGACAGGTGATCAATATGTAAAGAGCATTTCATTAGAGCCACAATGCTAAACTGCATGGGTTCAGAGAAGGATGGATGATTGGAGAGATGGAAAGATAGATAGATAGATAGATAGATGGATAGAAGGTGCTCTGTGAACACGTGGATACATTTAGACCAAAATTCAACTGGAAAATAGTACTATATCGTCCACTCTCACTCAGCTTTCACAAACTTTCCATTTCACAGGGCAAACATTACTCATCAGCGCCACTCTGCGGCACTTCCAGGCCAGTGGTCATTGATAATGCATCAAATGAACACTGTATAGTAGCATGAATTTTCCTACACGTGTGCAAAGGGCTATACATTGATGATACTGTTTCTGTACTAGAATCACATACTACCCATGGTGATGCAGGTCAAAAGACACACGACTAACACGTACAGCGTTCCCTTTTAAATTTTCATATATTTCATATATTTCCTTTAGAAATCCATCTCCAAAAGTCGTCCAGTTTTTCCCCCACATAAAATAAAATGCCCTTGGACCACTATATGATAAATATGAGTTAAAAGCAACATAAATCTCGGTGGGATTTATTTCACTACTCAACTTCAATTCTCAATTAAACTTACAGGGACACATTTTAATCTTTAAAACGCACTGGGCATGCACTTTCAATATTGATGTATTTCAGGATTAATATGCGTTTGCACTGCACCTCGCTACCCGCTTATTAGAGGGAAAGAACTGCATTTTTTTTAACTCAACGTTTCCCCTGTTGCACCACTTTAATGACAGCTATGATGCACACTATGAATGATATCCTCATTCACTCCTATCCGAAATGACCTAATAAAGTGAGTTGACCTTACGCTCCTGCTGCGGTGCTGAAGCCACCACTACACTCTTTCAGCGGAGCGACCGGTGGCTCTGCTGCGCGGCGGCGGGCTACTGACCTGCCAGTCTCCGCTCTCTGACATTCTTCCAGAGTAAATCCCAGGCTTTGGATGTGGAGGTCCGCAGCTGCTCGCTGAAAGAACGCCGGAGCTTCAGTGTCGCAGAGTTTCTTCTAGATGTCATCGCAGATCCTCCACTCGGACATAATACCACAATCCTCTTCGTCCACGCACAAACCAGTTGCGTTAAGGTCTCCGACAGACTGGCTGGCACCTTTCCGTTTCCCGGTGATAAACGTTGGTTCTACTGCAGCAGAAAAGCTGACTTTGGTGCCCGCTCTTCAAACGCAGTTGTCAACATTTTAGGGATAAACAAAATAAATATTTTCCTCTCACGAGTAAAAGTAACAAAGTGATTGTAAAGCACCAAGACAGAGTTTCACACTTCAGACCAGATGTGTGTGCGTGTGCGTCTGTGTGTGTGTGTGTATGTGTGTGTGAAGGGATTCACGCACAGCGAGCGCCGCACAGTTGTGATACCTTCAAATGCTGCAGGAAATAAGGAAATTACCAGCTGAGCCATATATGATCCACCCAATAAATAGTAAGTGGCCTATGAATGTAAGGGATCGATGGACAGCTTGTAGGACTGATGGTATCGACATATAGTGAAATATATCATATATAAATAAATAAATACATAGCAGTTTATAATTGCTATTTTGCATGATATGTAAATATTTAGTAGGCTATTGATGATATATGAGGGTTATTGGATTTCTAGCCTTTGTTGAATATCATGTCAAAGAAAAGACAATTAAGAAGGGTGACATAATAAATATAGATTATTGATTTCAGAGGAAAAAAGTAACACAAATATAAAATGTCCATGAATGTTTCTTATATAACACAGTGCATGCAGTTACCGTTCATATAGCATTTCCAGAATATATATCCAACTACAATTAGTTTGTTGTGTATAAACTGTCCTTGAGAACACACCTGATAATATCTGAAAGACTACAATTCATTTAGATTACAACAAAATATGTTTGTAATGTATTAATGCTGTGATGCGAGAAACAATGTCTGGATAGTATGTCCAATGTCAATTTCCCATAACTTTGTTCTAGACCAAAAAGGCTTCCAACAATTCAAATCTAAGACTCTGAAGTAGGAAATTGGAAATAGACATAGAGCACCTGAAGGCATCACAAGCTGCAAACGCTCAACAGCCCACATACACACATGCTGCTCTCAAATAACAGATTACAAAACGGAGCAATCACTTTCTCCAGTCACTCACTTCATCATCATGCCCAAAACAATAAGATGTCAAAAGAAAAACAACACTGCGGCATTACAGAAATGTTCCATAACAGGGAATACGCTCAATAATACCTTGACAATCACACCACCTTGAACGCATATATTATTGTTTTCTGTTATACTATTGTTCAAGTGTTTCTCGAGTATCATTTTTACTTGCTGGTACTTGTTTTGTCGGTACTTCTCAAACAGTTGATTGACAGAGACCTATTTATTAACTATTATTAGGATTTTGACCTCAATCTCCCATCAGCAGGATGTCGTCTATTATTTTAAAGCTTAGCAAGGGTTCAGCGAGTTCTCCCCAGGTAGGTTGGAGAAGGTCAACCCTTCAACAGAAACATGGGTTCAGTTTCAGCACCATTTACTTTTGTTGTCACAATATCTTTCACCGCAGATACGGAACAGACAATAAAAGCTCAGCTCATGTCCGAAGAATAAACATGATACAGTCTTCTATACGGCTGCATACTAGACACCAGCTTCGGTAATGGTTATACCATAATTATTTTAGGAATTTCCTCCTATTATTGTGTGCCCATTAAGGCAGCGCATGACCTAAGAGCGGTGATATCATATCGGCTGTCTTCATTTCTTGTTCGCCAGCTGCGATCACTGTTATAACAGGTTTAAAACCATTACACACAGAGGGACTGGCTGAAGAGTGACAGTTTCTGAAATGAACAAGTCTCTGCTGACCTCAGTTTGCCCTCTCTGTATGAAGCTGAGCTAACACTACTTCATTTCAATGAGGAGATAAACCCCATTTGCCACCGAGCAGGACAGGTGATTTACAGGTTATTACAAGGTCACACAGTGGGATATCTGAGCGCCATAAGAGTGTGCGGCCGAGGGGAGAATATTAATGATTCCATTTCTTCTGAAATCGAAATGATGTGCAGCCAGGAGGAATAAGAGTGCCTCAGTGAAGGGCTCTGATTTTACTGGATCTGACATGAAAACATTGACATCTACATATTCCAGGTTAATAGACTCTGCTCAATGCTGAAGAGAGAATGACAGAAACATCAAAGATTGTACCTTCCTATGAAGCAAAACATCAAAAGTTTCTGCTCATTCTGTGGTGAGGAAACTAAATAATTCTCAGGGTGTGACAGCTTTTCATCTGCATTTGGATCTAACTGAGTTTGTGACCGTTACTTG